TGAAATCAATAACGAGACCCTGTAGTTCTCTCTTAATTGGCTCTTTAACGATTGATCCTTGGGTACGTATGCAAAATCTTATTCTCCTGGTTGGCCACTAAAGGAAAGGAATCATTAGCAAAGTCTACTGAACAATGTTGCCTCGAATAATTTCTTTTCAAACTCTGAATAACTAAAAATATTAAATGCACTACGAAGACTTAGTTTGAAGTTTTCAGGACCTTAAAAGCACATGCTTCCTTACCAAAGTGAAAATCTGAAATATATAACTTAATTTGTTCAAATAGAGGAGTATCTTCATGTGGTTACAGAAAATATAACGTGGCACACTCAAGATGGTGAGGTGAGTGGCATAGTTTATTCAGGGCAGATATTAAGAGGTACACTATTTTGCCACTTTGGCCTATTTTTACTTCCGTGTTTCCAATGTCTCCAGAGCAGCCCTTTGGAAAACCTGTGCGGACTTGGTAATGTATAGGAAGGTTGTTTATTGAATATACATCTAGAATCACAGAGGGCAAAATCCCACATTGTAGTATATAAGATTATGAATGTTATATACCTTTTTATGTAACGTGCACTTGGACGGTATATGAACTTTATAAATATGGCGTCACAGACTTGTATTCAGTAAAACGAATAGGGGAAGACATTCATTCGTCTGGCCTGAGTTCAGTGAACTCATCCCTTGGTCAGTGGTATGTGCTTGTGTCATGTCCTTGGAGAAAAGGGAAAGTAAAACCGTCATTGTGTTTAAGCTGGGATGGGCGAGAGGGAAGCATGCATCCTCAGAGGTGCTTGATGAAGGGTGCTTTGAAGCAAAAAGCTATGTAATGGCCATATTTAATATATTTCATTAATATCTACAGATTGTGCTTTTAAAAAAAAAATAGTTTCTGTAAAGAGAAAAGTAAAACACCCGGAAGCCACTAGCCCAGGCCTTTATTAAAACATGGTAGTGTGAGAACAGCTCTCCGATGACTTTCTGTAGAGAGCAAAGTGCTTGAAGAGCTTATAGGATAGTTTGGGGGGAAGATCAAAGTTCACGGAAGAGTTCTCTATGGAGACCCTCCAAAGGCATGGGGACCTTCTGCTGTGTTAGAATCAAGGCAGCCAACGCAGAGGTGTGGTTGGTTCCCCAGCAAGGATCGGATATCTTGGGTGTAGCAAGAGGGGTGGGAGGAAGAAGCCGGGGCTAAGGCCTTGCCAACGTCAGTTGAACATTCTTAGCCTGTTGGAGTTTCTCACAAAGTATTTATTATATTTGTCTTAAAAAGTAATTACAGTGTCCCACATGCTTCTACAGGGTTTTATCTAAGACAGACTTTTCTGGATCTGCTTCCCAACTAATGCAGAAGTGAAACCCGCTTTCTTTGTTACCAGTATACATAATGTTATATTTGTTCTTTTTCGCTTACAGGCTGGAGCCAATGTCCTTCTCCAGGATGTTAATGGAAATATCCCCTTGGATTATGCCATGGAAGGGACAGAATCTAGTTCCATCCTGTTGACCTATCTGGATGAAAATGGTAGGCAGTTGCTGTGAAAAACTATAGAGAGATAGATTCAAAGACAGTGTGGTAGAATTACAAATGTATATTTTATCTATTTTTTAGGCACGCACACACAATTTCAGATCAATGTGGTTTCCCTAGATTGTGTAAAATGAAGTATTTTTTCTCTGTATAGAATTTCATTGTTCCCCCCGCGATGCCTCGTTGGTTGAGTCAAGGCAGTTTTGCAAGGCAGCAGAAATCTAGAGGCCAAGAATGAAGGAACATTTTAACAAGCATCTAAAGTCCATAATTAGTGGGACTGGGTTTGTAATTATAATCTATTCTCCACTGGGAGGGCAAGGGAAGTGAACCAGCATAACTGAATTCTGAGTTAACGAGAGCGAGGTCATCTGAAGTGTATTCTCTTAGGAGCGGGTAGTCCTCGTGAGTGCCAGTGAGGGAGGACTTAAGTCAAGGGCAGCTTGCACAGCATCCACTGTTGCTGACACGTGGAAACACAAATGTCAGAAGGAAGCGCCCTGGTCATGTTGCTAGCCTGAAAAGATGAGTAGAGCTCCCAGATAGATTCCCTCCCAAAGAATATTTAATTGCACAGACTAAACGTATAATTTCAGGAGCAAGTTCAGCATTGGCAAAGTGGGAGGTGTTTGAAATCCTGAGCCCGACATGGTATGCGACTGAAGAAGTTTGCCACTTCCCCGCCCCCTCTTTTTGTTTAGGTATAAATAACAACAAAGAAATTCCAGACCCTTCAAGTATGATCTTTTGTCAGAGAAGTTTAAAAGTCTTAAGAGCCACACAGTGCTTGTCACTCTGTCCTTCTCGATTCTAAGAAAAGCCCTCACATCTGCCTCTTTTTTCCCTGTGCTCTTTGCCTCCTCCAGATCTGTGGTATCAAAAGGTTTATTCTGAGGATGGCTTAGAATAATAATAATAATTAGCACTTCACAGCCAGGGGTTCTTAAAAAAATAATCTCATGAATTCTGAGAGTGGGTTAAGTACTGTTATCTTCATTAGGGACAATGTGAGCCGTGAGCCCAGCTGTCCTACGGAAGGTCACCGAGTCCCGGCCGGGGTGACGGAGGCACCTCCCTCACTCCTTGTATCTGCTCCTTATGTGAGGGTCACATTCGGATCTCTGAACCTCTTGTCAGCGGCAACTTGCTGGGGACAGGTTCCATTATTGCTAAAGGGATTGAGACTTGAACTTATGTTTGCACACCCCACTGCTGTGAAGTTTATTGTTTCGGCCTTTGTGAAACTTGGACTTCACCATGCACGCTTCTGAATTTGCACAAACAGCTCAGTTGTGTTATTAGCTGAGCCACTTCTATTAGCAGATTTCTTCCTTCCTTACTCTGAGTTTCTAATAGCCACGGTAGTAAATAGTTCTCTTTGAAAACTGAAATGAAGTTACCTTTATTTGCAAAAGAACTAACCTGACTTATAAACCTTTCCCACTCATTCAAGGATTTTGTTCAATAAGAAAATTTGATATTTACAAAGGCAGTATTATCTGTCTTATGCAAAGAAAAATAAGTGATTTTGAACGTGACTGAGGGCAAAGAAAGAGAGGGCGGCACAGATTCTCGATGGTTAGGAGAAAATCTGTCACGACGATGGCTGTCACAATCAGTTTGTAAAATACATGTTTGCTGGAACAGATTCAACTTAATATCCCCTAAATTTTTAATTCTGTTTTCCATTTGTCACTGCTGGTGTGCTGGCCTGTGCCTCACGACCGTCTACCCCTCCCTCGCCTCGTGCACGGTGTGCTCCTATTCTGCCTGGGTCCCTCCTACGTGTCTGTGTCAGCTGCCACACCCATTCGATTTATTCTCTGGCCTCCTCGCTGGCGTGCTTTCAGGGTTATCTGCCATGACAGTGTGGGCTGACATCCTTAGACATTTCTAAGATTCCCTGACTTGATGCGTATTACCGTTTGGCGCTCAGTGTTTCAGAACCACATTCTCAGAACCAGGTGGCTGTCATCCTCGGATATTCTCTGCGCACCATACAGTTTCCAGGCTGAGTACTTAGCACGCTGTCCCATCAGGACGCATGTGGCAGGAGGCAGGCGAGGTTGTGAGGAAGTTGATTACATGGCAAATCGCTGGTCACAGGTTCTAATTGTACTGTCACCACCGACATACAGCATACCCCGGGCACAGCAATTAACCTCAGCTCACCGCCTGGGCTTCCTGGGCTGGAAAACGAGACAGCCATGGAGGGCTGGTTGAGGACTTGATGCATATTGGATCGGCAGAGCGAGGCGAGCCAGTTGGCTTTCAGAGAAGGCAACTAATTGCACAATGATCGAGCGAGGGAAGAAAGCACTGCAGGGGGGACGGGGGGAGGCACAAGGTGGTCCAGCACAGATGCACAGGTAAAGATATATATATGGATCCTTTTCACTTTGCTGCGCTTGCCCTTTCTCCTTCCTTCGAAATTCATCCTTTAGAAAAAAAAGCTCACACTTATTCTCCTGAGCTCCTAATCTCCTCTCCTTAGCCCACTGAAGTTCAGCCTCTGCCGTAAATGTCCTTCCAAAGATGGCCATTGCCTGCTTGGCTCTCTATTGGCTGATCACCCTTCCATTCTCCCGCCTGTGTTCCCTCATCACCCTGTAGTGTTCCCTTGACTTCCATCACACTCTCCCGCGAAACCTCGCTCACCTGCAGTGATCATTCCATACCGTCCTCCATTCTCTTTGAGCTCCCACTTACTTCCCTTGGAAGTGTGACCGCACAGGCAGATGCCAGAATGTTCTCTGGTTCATCTCACCCTGTTCCTTGTGTTGTGACCGCCTGCCTGCTCCCAAGATTACTCCTGTGGCTCAGATCTCTTAGAAGACCTTCTGCCTTGTCATGTGCACTGTTCTTCAATATCTTGCCTTGGATATCAGGCGGTTTGGGATAACATACCCAATATTGAAGTTTCATGCCCTACCAAGAGTCCATTTTACCCTTATGACCAGGAATCCAAGCATCTCAATGTCACTTCTCTTTTCCTAAATCCCTCACATCGAATTGTCGCCAAATTTTATGGATTCTCCTTCCTTGACATCCCCATAATATGTCCGCATCCCTCACCCATTGTGCCGTTGCTGCCTTCGTTAAAACCCTAGGCTTTCTGTTGTGGAAACAGCCTCAGAAACTGGCTTAGCCTTCCCTGATTGTTCTTTTTTTTTTTTTTTTAATTTAAAATAGAGTAAGTTAACATACAGTGTAGTATTGGATTCAGGAGTAGAACCCAGTGATTCATCACTTCAGTGTAACACCCAGTGCTCATCTCAACTAGTGTCCTCCTTAATGCCTATCCCCCATTTAGCCCATCCCCCAACCCACCTCCCCTCCAGCAACCTTCAGTTTGTTCTCTGTATTTAAAGGTCTCTTATGGTTTGCCTCCCTCTCTGTTTTTATCTTATTTTTCCTTCCCTTCCCCTGTGTTCATCTGTTGTGTTTCTTAAATTCCACATATGAGTGAAATCACATATTTATCTTTCTCTGACTTATTTCAATTAGCATAATACCCTCTAGTTCCATCCATGTTGTTGCATATGGCAACATTTCATTCGTTTTCACCGCTGAGTAGTATTCCTGATAATTCCTTAAGAGACTCCTGGATTAATCAGTCCATAGTGACCTTGTATATTTCTTCCACTTAGTAAAATTAATTTGAAATGCCAATCCTGCACCACCCTCTTCAGAGTCACCCATTGTCAAGGTGGGAGTGTATCCCAGTTTGCTGGGGACGGTCCTACGTTGTGCGTCTGGTAGGACTGATGGAAGGGATGGTGTAGAGGGTTATAACAGCCTTTTGGCTTGAACATGTTTGTTCCTTTTTTCTGGAATCAGCTCCCTTTATTTGCTTGCTCAGAGCATCCTTAGTTCCAATTCTAGAAACTAAGAAAATGATGTGCTATAGTCACGGGGCAGGTCACATCAGAGTGACAGACTACCCCCAATACAAAATGGATAATGGAGAAAAAGAAAAGTTGAATTGTTACAAAAAAAAAAAAAAACAATATTATCTTGAGAGAGGCAGTTAAGGAAAATTAAGATAGGGTTTAGACTGACTTGATGTGTCAATGTGATTTCAGTTTTACATATCACCTGATGTTATCAAATGTACTCAGGCAATAGTAATTAGTATCACATGTAATAACTTGTAAATTTCAAGCAAATGATGTTTTTCTTATTTCCTAAATATTTCCTAAATGTGTTCATTTTGAAAAAAAAATTAATGAATTCCTGTCGAAATAATAAATCCAATCAGGACCTGTATTAGTTTTTTTTTTTTTTTCAGAGAACAGGATGAAAATAAAACTTAATTTCTTTTAAAAAAGACAGACTTGAACTATTTTCCATTATAAAATAGGCTTATTATGGTCTGTTGGTTATATTTTTCCTGGAGTAGCTTAAGACTTTTGAGCAAGAAGAGAGGGATTTCTGTTCCATTGTCTTGCTGAAAATAGATTTCTGCTCATTGCCTAAACATATGACAAAAATCTAAAATCGCATCTTATGTGGTATCATATTTGACTCAAAATGAAGTTTTAAAATAGTAAGATACAATATCATAATATTCCCCTCTGATACCTTCACAACAGTGGCTGAAATAGATTGTTTTCTCATGCCATGTGGTAAATGAGTGATCTCCAATCTGCTTTAATGGGTCTTTTATCACTGAGCTCTATTCTTTTACAGCTCGATTTTAATGATGTGTGCAAATGATTCTCTAAAAGATACGTACCACTCCAGTAAACACTGCAGTGTCATAGAACTTAGAATCACGTAGCCATCAGATTCTTCGACTTCAGTGTGCAAAATTGAACACTGACATTTGAGAAATAGTATTTTCCAAAATTAACTCACACGTCAAATTCGACAATCCTAAAAATGAGAATAGAGTGATAGTTTTAGTTGGTTCTTAACAAACCTCAAAGCAACTCTTAGGGAAATCTGTTAGTTCTTCCGAAATGGCATGTGGAAATTTCAAAGCTGGTAATTGGTTCCCCCCTCTCATCCTCCTAGTGAAATGGGTTTGCTTTGGACAGAGTATTTGAAACAAACCACATTATTCAAATAGCGCATTTTGCTTTATTCTGTTTGGGTCTTGCCCCAAACGAATGCATGGTGTACAGCCCATGTAATAGAAAGCGGACTATAAAGGACAGCTCACATCTAGCGAGTACTTGCTCGATTCAGCAAGCCGAATACTGTGTTAGGTGCTCGATGTGTTGTCGTTTGTCCTCATAACCACTGGTGAAGCAAAAACTATCAGCCCCATTTTGCAGATGGAGGAACTGAGGCAGAAGATGAGTTACCTGTTCCCACTGGCACTAGTATAAAATAGACCTATTATATTATTATACTTATTATAGTATGTTAATAAAATATGCATAATGTATGTGGAATATATAATATATTATACTTATTACTACTATTATTACTAGTAGTAATAGAAGACACGACACCAAAATCCAGGAAGCCTGACCCCCAATGTTCATCCAGGATCTGAGAGAGAGCTGGACCAGGGGGCGGAGGTTCCAGGCTCTAAGCGGAAAATGAAAGCAGATGTGCAACGGGTTGAATGATCTCTGCCCCGTGGACAGATCTCGTATGTAGTGAGTGTAGCTGCACTTCTTTGGGATATATATCATTCCCTGAGTGACCGTGGATGCAGAAGACCAGAGAGGTTACATACCTTTCCCAGAGTCACCCCGGAGAGGTCAGGGACAGGCTGGCATGGCCAAAAGGAACACTCTGGCATTGGTGCTTGGGTCCCCTGTGCCGACCCAGCCTCCCTGTTTGTGGCAAGGACTGAGTCACATAAGAGAGAGAGAATCAGGGAGGTGGCTGATTTCTAGCAGCCACTGGCTGAGAGGCAGGTGTTAATCATCACCATCATCATCATCATCATCATCATCATCATCATACTTTCACTGAGAATAAGGTGGATTATTTCCCCTTATTAAACACCTGTTATGTCCAGGAACCAATCCTGGGAACAGGATGCATAAATGTGAAGGTTCGAGCTACCGTGGAGATTCACACGAAAGCTTGGGTGAGAATAAATGCTGACAACAGGTGCTAACAGGAGGGGAGCAGACCTGACCTTTCCATGGCCCATCCCCCTCCTCGGCAAGGCTGACTTCCAGACTTCCCTCAGCTTCAGTTCATTTCTCTTTATTAATGCGAACAGCCATGAAATGTTTGATTGGAGAATCTTTTTACATTTAATTTGAAAACATTTGAGATCTGCAGGGAAGTTGTCAAAACATCCCTGAGAGTTCCCGTACACCTTCTCCCCGCTCCCCTATGCCAACACCCCACACAGACGTGGTACATTTATCCAGAGTACGGAGTTAGCTCAGGTATGATGCTACTCACTAAACTACAGACTTTGTTCACATTTTTCCAGGTTTCCCACCAAAGGTGGTTTTCTATTCCAGAGATTTCTATTCTATTCTATTCTATTCTATTCTATTCTATTCTATCCTATTGCTTTTAGGAGCAACTATTTTGGCCTGAAAATTATAGAGAGCAAAAACCATGTTTTAGAACTCATTTCAGTTCCATTCAAATGGTTTAAACTACTTTGGGCAGTGCACATTGATGATCCATACTAAGACCGTCAAACGTTGAGAGCCTGCCATGGATGAGGTGTCATGTCACATCTTTGGGATAGAATCAGAGGAAAATTATTCCAGACTATTTTCTAGCGGTAAATAGAAGGCGGGCCGAGAGAAACCATTATGTGGACTTTGAATTCAAAGCAGAAGAGGGGCTTCAAAGAGGAACACGTTGAAAGAACAGTGAGATAAAATTAAGGCTTGACCCCCAGCGGCTGAGAAGCATCTCTGCCTTCTGTTTCAAAGGCTGTTTTCCCCGTAGGCGTGGACCTGACCTCACTGTGCCAGCTGAAGGTGCAGAGACCCGTGAGCATGCTAACAGATGTCAAACACTTCTTGTCCGATGGCGGAAATGTCAATGAGAAAAATGATGATGGGGTGACGCTGGTAAGTTAATATAACTGGCTGAGAAATATTGCTGATGTAGAGGATTTAAGTTGATTTCTAAAGCCTGGAATTGGATGCAATTAACGTTTACAAATGTCCTTTATTTCTGATCATAAAAATTCTACATATTTATTGTAAAAATCTTGAAAACGCGTTAAGTGCGCAAAGACGGAAACAGAAATCACTTATGTCGCCACTCAGAGAAAAACCAGTGTTTGTAGGCTGATGTATTTTCTTCAAGCCTCCCTTCCATTTTGTTAAAAAATTTACAGTAATTTTTTAAAGTGTATTTATTTATTTTGAGAGAGCGGGAGAGGGGCAGATTGAGAAGGAGATGCAGAGAATCCCAAGGAGGCACCTCACTGTCACCTTGGAGTCTCACTTGGGGCTGGAACTTACGAACCCATGAGATCACGACCTGAGCCAGAATCAAGAATCGGACGCTTAACTGACTGAGCCACCCAGGCGCCCCTGGAATAATTTTTAGGCATTACTTTGTCCGTGTGATTCATTGAGATGGAACTTATGGGAGAATGTTTTCGTTTTTCATTTTACGTAAAACAAATTATGGGTCACTCTGGGGAATGACTTTCTAAATCCAAGTGAAATCCTGTCATTGCTTTTTTTCCACAGCTATCGGGCACAGTGGCAGTAATGAAAAACCAGTGCAATTAAATTTGGATTAATTCTCATATAAGCATAATGTCTAGTCATGAAAGTAAGAAACATTTGGCACTATTGACTTGCACTGAGCATGCCTGTGTTAAAGTTAACTGTCGTGGAATTAAATGTACTGAGGCTCAGGGGGAAGCATTGAGAGAAAGTAGATTAGCAGAAGGGGGTATGATGCTCGGAGCATGGGATGCACAGAAGCCTCTGGAGCCAGTGATTCAGGTTCTACTCTGCATTTTTCCGGAGGTGTGAGGTTGAACACAGCGATGGGAGAAATGGCTTGTCTAAGTGGATAAAAGTTGTGTGAGACCCGATACGGTTTTAGATTTATTAAATGCAAATCGAACACCCTGAGACCTCTGGATAGAATAACCTTCCTAGATACTGATTTCGGACTTTGGACTGTAGGTTTTCTAAAGACTGTCAAGAACATAACTCCAAGTTATAAGCAAAGAGAACAAAGCGTGTTTACAGTTTATTGAAAAATCACATTCAAGTGGAAAAATACTCGAATTAATCTATTGAGGAAGTAATTTATTAACCCTAACCTGTGAACAAAATAATAATGAACAAAGCCACAAAAGCCCTTTTATCATGGGCTTACATTTGTTTGGGGAAGATACATAATATACCATATAAATGAGCTAAATGTGTAACATGCTAATAATGACAAATACAAAGGAGAAAAGAATAAGATAAGGACATGCTGGGAGGTACACAGGTAAGATCTCACTGACGAGGAAGTTTGAGTAATGACCTGAGAGAAGTCTTCACACACTGCAGGGGTGCCTAGGAGCATTCCAGGCTGAAGAGTGGTACGTGCAAAGGCCCTGAGGCCGGAGTGGGTGCATTAAGATTTAGAAACAGCACAGAGGCCTGTGAAGCTAAGCAGAGTAAAGGAAAGGAGTGAGGTAGCTGGACCGGATCCTGCAGGGTTTGTGTGCCTGTGTGAGGACTCTGCACTTACTCTGAGTGGGACGGGAACACGTGGGAGGGCCCTGAGGAGAGCACAGCCCTGCTTCACTTCTAAAAGCATCACTCACTCTGACTGCTGTGTTAAGGATGGACTGTCAAAGGGCAGGGCTGACACTGAGAGTTCAGGTGAGAGGTGTGGTTGGTGGTGGAGCTCAAAGCTACAGGAAGCTGAGGCTGTGGGAAGTGGCTGACTTGTGTCCGCGTGAAAAGAAGATCCGCTGCGTTTTCCTGATGGCCAGGTGGTGTAGGAGAAAGGATGATTGCAGAAGGACTCCACGTAGTTTTAGCCTCAGCACCTGCAGTGATGGAGTTGGCGTCCGGTGAGACCGAGAGGGCTGAGAACCAAATGAGCTTGGAGCAGAAAAGACAAGGACAGCTTGGGAAACACAGAGCTAGATGTGACTGTGAACCTTCTTCATGGAGACGCTGGGTTTGTGGTTGGATATTGGAGTCTGGGACTCAGGAGGCGTCTGGACTGCAGAATCACTTTTGGGAACACTAGCATAAACGTGACGTTGAAAGCCTTGACCCTGGATAAAATCACACTTCTGACACAGAAGAAGAAGAGAGAATTGAGGACCGAGCCACGATGCTTAGGAAGGAGAGGAAGATCCAGAAATAAGACTGGAAGGAGAAACTCTCAAGGTAGGAGGAAAACCAAGAGAATGAGATGTCCCAGGAGCCAAGGAAAGGAAGTATGATGATGATGAGGAGGAGGAGGAGGAGGAGGAGGGGGAGAAGGAGGGGGTGTGTGTGGGGGGGGAACGGTTGACTATCAGATAACCACTGAGAGGTCAAGTGACTGGAGGTGGTGAATTGACCTTTGGACTGTGTATTGGGAGGTCACTGGTCTTTTCACCGAGGGAAGATGCAGTGGAGTGGTGGGCTCAAAATCCAAACTGTAGTGGGTGATAGTTCTTTTAATGCGTGTAACGCATCAATGCCTAACACAGCGCAGAAACCCAGTAGACCTTTGTGTCTTTGTTTGGCTTAAGATATTGCAGATTTATATGCCTCTAAAAAAAAATCACTGCTAAATAAAAATTGCATAAGTGTTTCAAATATCGTCAAATCAAAGGACCCACGTACTTTGGTAGTGAAGCTATTGAAAGAATCAATCAACACAGAACAATAAATTGCGATCGAGTTCCACCATCTTCAATTTTGACATTCTTTGTGACTTTTTTCTATTGAGCAGAGAGCATAAACATTGCAAATAATTGTTGTATAATAACTAAATGATCATCTTTGATCATTGAGCTTTTCACAAGGAAATTAGTAGTGATCGGGAGGCTAGGAAGTTGTCCCTTGAAGATCACAGTGTTTAGCAAGCGGTAATGTAGTTTGATTCTTCGGTCGGAATCAATCAGTCTATCATGTTAATGACTGCCTTCCCAGAGCTCTCCTCCGGATTGTGTGTTCCTGTCTGTTGTTGGTCGACAGTAAGAAGACGCCAGTCCACAGATTTCCATATCCTGAGTTGGACTGTCGGTTGTGGTTCAGAATCATTTCCCACACTGTCAAATTGTGCAAAAGAAGACGAAGCTATCAGTGAAAGGCTCAATACCTTTTTCTCCTTTGTTAGAACATGCGACAAAATTACCAAACTTACTGTAGCTCTCTTAAAAAGATCTCTTGCTGTACAAGGATACCCTTTTTAAAAGAAAACAAAACCTGAGAAAAGGATACAACCCCCCCCCAAAAAAAGCCTTGTTACAGAGGATATGGAAATGCATTTCTGAGTTTGAGTGCATAGATGCTCTTTGAACATCTACAGTAATGACTTTCAGATACATTATAAAGATGCTGGTTCTTCACTCTTTTGTCACAGACTTTGATATATAATATCTGGCCTTGGGACGTATTTACTTGGAAAAGAATTATTCATGAGATGCAAACATCAAACAATTTTATTTCTGACTCCCTTTGTTTTGTCAGTAGTGCTGGTTTATCCCTTACTTCTGGGTGAAGACTTAGCCAATGCTATCTGCTTTCTGGCCGCAGTTTATATCACGATGCGTAGCCTCAATTTAGAGATTAGAATGTGCGGTCCTTTATGACAGTGAAAACTCCCTGCTGGCATGAAGTCAGGGCTCACTGGTCTTTTTATGTCCTATTACCTTCTAACCCCCCTGGTGTAGCTGTGGATTCCTTGTCAAAATTGTGCTTTTAATGTAATAAAAATGGTACCCGGAATTACAAGGAAAGACAGTTCTATGAAAACATCATAATCATAATATTAAAATTAACTTTGTGATATTAATGCACATGCTCCATTATTAATGCACCGAGTAACAGCTTTAACCATTACCATGATTTTAGAGTAGATTTGAACCGGGGTGATATTTGGACATTTCTGCTAGGACAGCAGTGTGATATGACAATATTTCTTGTGATGGTAGAGAGCATCACAGCTGTGTACCCTATGTTCACCGTTGAAGAATTTGCTACATTTCAGTTGGGGTTAGAAAACAGTAAAACTGTTTTCCCACCAAGTTTGCAAACCCCCTGAATCTATGCACAGTTCCTACAGGGGCTGGTGGGTTCAGGCATTAAGGACCTCAAGTTCAGCTACATCTCGAACCTGTTCCTGGCATATCAGGAAGTCCGTAGAAGGGAGGGTAGACGTGATCACCTGTTTCCCCTTCTGCCACTGCCTTCGCTTCAGTGTTGCAGAAGTTGAGGGAGAGGACGGGAGGAGACAGATGGGCAGGAGGTGATGCAGTAGGGGATGGAGGGCTTTGACTTGACCTTCCTTGAGAGAATGTCCTGCTCTCTGGGCTAGAAGCGGACCCCTTCCCTTGTGAGGATGTGGAGGTTCTTCAGATATCACCTCCTCACCATCATCACTGGGGATCTCCAGATGGTCCTTTACACCTGCCTCAGTTCTAGGGAATCTGAGGTGCTCCAGCCTGTCTCTCTCGCCCCCTCAGGCACCCCCCTGACACAGAACTGAAAACGAACACAGCTTGTCCCTGGAAAAATCTGCCCGCATTTGTTTTTGCCCCTGTGAACTCATGAGGGCCAGTGGATGCCAGGGTGTCTGCGACCTCCCCTTGCAGCCCACCGAGCGGAAAGCCAGCCCATCGCTGCCCTTTACTTTTTCTAGGCAGGAATCAAAACCTAAGTGACAGTGTCTTCGCCGTGCCGCTGAGGACACATGGCTTCCGTGGGCGGTCACCATAGCCAGGCTCTCCTGACGTGAATTAGGAAGGAACCCAGGCCCCCCCCCCCCCCACCGGGACACCCACATGTACGCTGTCCTTTTATCTCTTGAGGTCGGGGTCAAAAGTAATCTAGGCAGTTTTTGGACAACCATTTTCAAATATATATATATATATATATATATATATATATATATACACACACACACACACACACACACACGCATATGTACATATACATATATAAACATATATGCATATACATATATATGTGTATATATATATGTATATATATATATATATATATGGTCTTATTTTGAGATAGGATATATATTATATTCACACTCAGTCAAAACTATGGTAGGAAAAATCCTCTGTTAATATTCTGACATAAAAGTAGAATAGGAGAAGATGTGAAATTATTGGTTCAAAACCTGGACTCATTTCTGTAGGTGTTTGAATAGCTATTCCTCAAGACTGATTTTTATTTACTCCCAACATTATGTTCATCAAAATTTGGCATTAACCTTAGAGTGACCTTCCCGATGTAGGGCGGCAGAGGTCACAGACCTTAAATAAGACCACGTTCAGTGAGCATATATTTCAAATTTCACACACAGCTTCTTTTTAAAAATTAGGTGCACAAATACAAGACTGAGAGACAACAGTGATGCCCATTTTCCATGTTACGCAATAAAAAGGACTTAATTCTGTGGTGGAATCCCTTCCGCTATACAAATAGGGGGAGAAAACACAAAGGGAAACCCTGTTATTATTGACTACAACAAAAATTAAAGTGAACATTTATGCATCAAACAAGAGCAGAATTAAGAGGCAGATAATAAACCAGGAATAATGCTTACACTGGCTCTTCCAAAGTGTTGATATTTCTCAAATATGCAGTGTTCATAGAAATGAATGAAAAAGATGACCCTCTCTCAGTAGTGAAACAAGTAAGAGAGTCATTTCACTAAAGGAAATACAACTATCCTGTAAATATATTAAAAGAGACCCATTGTTAGAAGTTGAGTACACTGGAATTATTTATAGTTGTTTTGGAAATTAACAGCAAAGACCAGAAAGCTAAGTAAGAATCTGCACACACAGGTCTATGCGCACGGTCTATGCACATAGGGACTGTGCACACATGGGGTCTGTGCACACACAGATTTATGCGCACACAGGTCTATGCACACAGGGTCTGTGCATACACAGGTCTGTGCACACACAGGTCTATGCACACACAGGCCTATGTACATGGGGTCTGCACACACACAGGTCTATGCACACAGGGTCTGTGCACACACGGTCTGTGCACACACA